GACAATTATTTACAAACATCTCCTTAGTAATTTTGTTAAAATATTGATCTTTACATAGTTTCTTATTTTAGAGTTTCGCAAAGTTGGCGCCGTAAATTTATCTAAAATGAACTCTTCGACGAAACGATTGAGAAACAGATGTCGCTGGAATAGACGTCGCTACAGGGAGTTCAAACTCTTCGATTGAAATAATATTGAGGTTTTTTTAAGAAATGTTGTCACGTGGCACAACAATTTTAAAAAGCGTATGGGAATTAAATGGAAGGAAACAGACCGCAATAAATTTACAACAGATCCGTACATGGTAAGTCTGTAAGTATATTACATAACGTTTACTTCAAAAGAAGGTTAGGTTTATATTTAGTAAAAATTTTTAATATTTATAAAATACATTAAAAAATACATTAAAAAATCTGTAAAACATTTCTCATATATATGCACACAAATATGTAAGTAAATATATATAATAATATTTAATTCATATGCTATGAATATATATAATTTATTGTGTGGTTGTCCAAAAAATTGGTGCCAATTTTGAAGGAGAATTGAAACGCAGGAGATTTAAATTTTAGTATACACTTATTAAATTATATAGGTGCCATTCTGTTCTACAACCTTTCTCCATCTTTCAGGCAACTTGAAAATTCCGTCTTTCCAGAATCTCTTAGGTTTTTCAGCGAAAAACTTTTCTACGTGATTTTTTATCTTGACCAAAAAGTTGAAGTTTTTTCCATTAAAGGAATATTTGTAATGATCGAAATAGATGGAAATCAGAGGGCGCGAGGTCTGGTGAATATGGTGGATGCGGCCTCATGTGTCTTTGATAACTTGATAAAAGTTGTTGGAGCTCAGTTGAAATGTTCTTTCAGCTATAGCACTTTCGCCATAAACAGTGCATATCTTGTTTATCGCTTGTGTGGCATTTTTGCCTTTCCGGTAAAAGAAAAGCATTAAATGCCTAAAATGCACTTGTTTTCTTCCATATTCAAAGGCGTATAAAACTGACAAAAATTAACGTATCTTAAACAAATTTTTTTCCAAATATGCCTGAAGTACCGTCTTTTACGATATGTACGCTTGTCATTTGTTTTCAATCGTTCTGATATTCAGAACGATTCAGACCTGTTCTTACGCCACCTACTAAAAATCGGCACAAACTTTCTGGACAACCCAATATTTCATTTGAAAATTTATTGTGAATTTATTATTTCAAAAGAGTAATTTAATATTATAGTTTTGCCTATCGTACAGCACCTGTACCTGAAACAAAATGGGTAATACTAGCAGAGATATGGTCTGGAATAGCATGGTGGTGGATCTTTTGGAATGCTTGGCATGAGCATGAGCATATCACTGTAAGTGACATAATTATTTCTTAGAAATTTTATTTACTACCTACAATAATTAATATTTTAGGGTCATTTCCCTGAGATACGTCCAATAGAATGGAGTGATGAAGAATTAGGAATTCCACCTGATTAAATAGTCAGATATTTTTTATATATAATATTGAAAGTTTGACATATATATGTCAAAGATTTTGACGTATTTAAATAATAAATTGTAACCAGATAAGAACAAACATTAAATATATTATGTATAGAAAATTGATAGAGACTAAAAAGTTTGTCTATTTCAAATAAATGTAATAAATCATTTGAATTATGTGATTGAAAATTGAATTCATTATTGATCGTTATATTACAATCTATGTGTATGTATACAAGTAAATAGAACACTTAAAATAAGTGCAATAAATTTTTATTAAAATATAAATTTATATAAACTCCATATAACAAAATGCAATGTACAGCTGACTGTACATGATATTCTTAATTACGTGTTGGGACTTTAATAGAAATTGTTTTAGTTTCAAGATACTCTTTTAATCCTTCTGCACCACTGAAATATAAAATTAAACATATATATTTTGTTACTAATTGTTTTAATTAAGTAATTATGAACTTACAGTTCACGACCTATTCCTGATTGTTTGAATCCACCGAATGGAGTTTGAGGTGTGATAGCATCATAACAGTTTATCCTATTGAATAATAATTTTTTTTAAATAATAATGTCTAATTAAATACTATAAATAAACACAGAATTTGTCTTAAAAATTTTTACCAAACGCTTCCAGCTTGTACTGCTTGTGCAAATACCAATGCTTTATCAATATCTTTACTAAGAACACCGGCAGCAAGACCATAATTTGTATTGTTTGCACGTACAATAACTTCGTCCATTGTTTCAAATTTTAAAATAGATTGAACAGGTCCAAATATTTCTTCCTTTGCAATTCTCATATCGTCAGTCACATTTGAAAAAATGGTAGGCTTAAATTAAAATTAAAATATCTGTAGAAAACAATAATACAAATGACAAAAAATACTAATTTAAAAAATTATACCTTAATAAAATAACCAACATTGCCTTGACGTTCTCCACCAGTTTCTAATACAGCTCCTTCTTCCTTTCCTGATTTAATTAAACCTAAGACTTTATCAAACATTTCTTGATCAATTTGTGGTCCTTGTTGAGTTTCAGAGTCAAAAGGATTACCAACTTTTGTTTTTAATGCCAACTGTTTAGCATAAATAACAAATTGATCATAAATTTTAGCATGTACAAAAGTACGTGAACCAGCACAACAATTTTGTCCATGATTCGCAAATATTGCATTGTAAGCAATTTCAGCTGCTTCCTTAACTAGAATATTATTAATTCTCTTATAGTACTTATTAATTTTCTTATAATACTTATTAATTCTCTTATAATATCAATATACTAATAATTAATAAACATTTTATTACCATCAACATCATCAAAAATAACTAATGGACTCTTGCCACCCAGTTCAAGAGAAACACGTTTAAGATTACTTTTAGAAGAAGCTTCCATTATAAGACGACCAACCTATAAATGAAATATAAAATGTAATATAATTTTATGAATAAATATAAAAATCATAGATACCTCTGTAGATCCTGTGAATGCAACTTTCTGAATTCCTGAATGTTCAGCAATAGCTGCACCAGCTGTTAAACCATAACCAGTAATAACATTTATAACACCAGGTGGAAATCCAGCCTCTTTAGCAAGTGCTGCAGCATAGAGGGCAGTTAAAGGAGTTTGTTCTGCTGGCTTCAAAACAATAGTACATCCAGTAGCCAAAGCTGGACCCCATTTCCAAGCCAACATAAGAAAAGGATAGTTCCAAGGAATAATTTGACCTACTACACCAACTGGTTCCTTACGCGTAAGTGAGACAAGATTTCCATCTAAATAACAAATATTGTCCGCAAGCATTTATAAAACCTTTATCAGTGACTTACGAGTATTAAACATACCTGCTGGAATAGTATCTCCAAAAATTTTGTCACACCAGCCAGCATAATAACGAATTGTATCTATACTATACTCTATATCAAAAATTGCATTTGAATATGCTTTTCCATTATCTAAAGTTTCAAGAGTTGCAATGTATTCTAAATCTCTTGCAATAAGATCTGCAAACTGCATATAGCTAAATATTATAATTGATATATATATATATATATATATACACATAAATTTAGAGATATATCATAGTTATATTATATATTATGCAATTGTAATATACCTTGTTCATAAGTTTTCCTCGAACAGATGCATCCATATTTCGCCATTTTGATCCTCTAATAAATGCTTGACTTGCAGCTGCAACTGCTTTGTCTACATCTGCCTATATAAAACAAAGTAAATATTTAAGATAATTTTGATGTGAAAAAAGTTCCATGATAACAATAAAGATTATAAAATAAAAGTATAATACCTTATCACCTTCAGAGATTTGTGCAATAATAGTACCATCAGCTGGATTTATAGTAGGAAATTTTTTACGACTTACTGAATCCACAAATTCGTTATTTATAAATAACTGAAAATATGTAAAATCGATATTAAAGCGAATTTTATTATTATTTCTTATTGATATTTTGGTCTCAACATCTACAACTATTTACTATAACTTCTTATTACAAAACATAGATTACATAATTTTCACAATATGTGCTTAAAATTAAAATATTTAAAATTATATTTTTTTAAATTAAACAAACCTGAGTGTATTTAATATCTGGGACCTTGCGATTCATTCTTACTTACAATCTCCTCGTAAAGTGTCAATAAATGGTTCAAGTTATCTAGAACAGAGCGTTAAATACCTTTTTATCTATTTGATAATACATAATATTAATAATTTGTTTGTTTCGATAAGATGTTATTTGAAGTTAGTTTTATTTAAAGTCAACTAACTGCATATATAAAGATACTCATAATAAACGAAAATATTTTTTATAATAAATGTTATTTACAGTTACACAAAATCTATCAAAATTTGAATTTTTTAACAAAAATTAATTAATTAATTAAATTTAATTAATTTTAATATTTAAATTAATTTAAAAAAAAATTAATTAAATAATAACTTACTTGGCTGAAATAATCAGTTTATTTGGCAATGTAAGACGTGTGAATCATGTGATTCATTCGTATCTCATAATGTCGTATTCATTCGTATGAGATAAATCTGTAGATATTCAATTAAATTACATGCATAGTTAAATTCCCATAGAAATAAAATAATACACATACATAAATACATATATTGTATAAAACAGCATAATTCTGTTATTGAATTCAATAAATTACTAAATTGATATTTAAAAAATATTACTATGGTTTATAAAAATTTACACTTTACAAAGACTTATAATATAAATATAGAAACAATTATTCATTTATATTATATTTTTAATAATCCAAACTAAATCATTAGTAGCTTATTTTATATTTATATTTTATATTAATAGTTACCATTTAATTATTAAATATAAAAACAGTCTCGTTGGTGTGAATTATTAAATCGATATATTTTGTACACTTCTCTGTACATACGTACGTATATTAATAAGAGTTAATGTGATACAAACAGTTATAAAAATCATTCGTAATAAACTATAAAAATTTGTTCTGATATAATTTTGAGAACCATAAAAATATTACAATTATTATATCTAAAATACTAACAAATTTAGCATTGATTTATTAGGTAAATATTCAACATGAATACTGAACAAGAGTCTACTAAATTGGTCGAAACCCAGAACACGGTAAATTTTAGTTTAAAATAACAACTTATATAACTTTCATGTTATTTAGATGAATCAAGAAAAAAAGAGATTTTAATTTAATTAATTTTAGAATTAATTTTAAATATGTTTCTGAATATTTTTTTTTTAACAAACTTATATAGCCTTGTCCCAAGATAAATTATACTCAAAAAATTGAAGGATCCCCTCCGTATTTTCCTCAACCAGGAGATGAACTTCCAGCACAACCAGAAGGACAAATGGATGCAATTGGTCCATGGGCAACCGGTCGTGTTAATTTTACACTTCAAGATGGTTTAACCGGCATTAGACCAGTTGTTGATCGATATTCCATAACTAGTTTTGGGGCACCTCAGTGGAGGGCTCATAATCAGAAATTTTTTAAACAATCAGATGAAAAGATTCGAGAAGCGCAGTATGTAAAGAAATTTCTATATTAATATAATTTCTTACTTCTTTAATTCAAATAATAATAAAACAACATATTATTTTAGGCTTGCTGTAAATAATGCAAAACGATGTGTTGAAAAATCGTATAGAGAAGCGGATAAGATGCAATTCGAAACAACAGATCATTTAAAAAATCGTGCAAGCGAAGTATATCGTTGGAAAATTGAACTAGAACATTTAATACTTGAGATCACGAATGAAATAGAATTATTGCAAGCTGAACATCGAAGAATAAAGCATTCTTTGTCGGTGCTTACAGTTCCAGAATCGATTGCTGGCGAATTCTTACAATTACGATCAAAACGATTAGAATCTGATCTTATTAGGGATGAAGTAGAAGAAGAACTTACCAAAGTTAACATCATTAATAATATAACGTAATATGTATAGTGAAATATATATATTAGCAATACCTATCAATTATTACAGGAAGTAGCACTTTGCTCGGAGATACGCGATTTACTTGGTAGAACTCGGGAACAGATAGAAATGCAATTAACTGAATTAAAAGCTGCAAAAATAAGAATGGAAGTGGATTGGACTGATAAAACTGATGCTTATGATATTGATTCCCACAATATAAAATTAAAAAATGATTCTCCCATCATTTTATGGAGACTTGGAGCTACAAGATTTCCTGCAGAGTATGTATCAAATGAATTTTTTTAATTTGGTACTCATTTAAAGTAGATCTTAAAATTTATATTAATTTTCTTCATTAGACAATCAACACCTTCAAGCTATGAACATTACACACGAGAAAGTTTAACTGATGCAGAAGCAGCAAAACAAAGATCTGCAAATTTAAGATCCACTTTAGATTCTATATATAAAAATTCTACTAAAGATCTTCGAGATCAAGCGACTCGCGTAGATCTCATTTTAAATCAAAAGATTAAACTTACAGAGGATGTCTGTATACAATTGGAAAAAGAATTACTTCGTGTAAGTTCGTGTAATTACGTTCGTGTAATTACTTCGTGTAAAAAACTCAGTAACTCTTTAAACACAATTGCATTATATGTGTTATATGAATATTTTTCTAGTGTTTACATGAACTTGCAAATACTGAAAAATCAATAGAAGAGCTCCGTCATTCAACAAGAGGACTAGATTGCGTAATGAAAGTAGCACAAACACGATTAGCAAACAGGTTGCAACGCCGTAATGTAGAAAGTTGTCGTGACACTTCCCAATTTGCGTAAGTATTTTATCAATGAACTACTATCTAGTTGTACGATTAGATATTTAAAAAAATAACAGATACAGTTAGATAATCATTAGATAATTGACTTATAACTTTCTTAATGTATTATTTAGCCTAGTGGAAGAAATAAAATTACTTAATGAACGCACATCGGCTATGTTAGCAGAATTAAAACGAGCTGAAGAAACTCAAGCAGGTTTGGTGAAAGCAAGAAGCGATCTTGAACATGAAATAGTCGTAAAACGTAAAACACTGTACATAGATAAACAACGTGGACAATTGTTGCGCTCATTTTACCCTACAACTATTTAATCATAAACTTTATATTTTAAAGATTTTAAAGGGCTTGATAAAAGCACATGAGTAATTTCATACATGAGTAACTTCATAAATATATTTTGGAAGTACACGATTAGTTCACGCAAAAATATAATAATTTTGTAACATTTTTGTTTTAATATTTTATATAAAAATGAAAAATTTATGGTTTGAATACCAAATACCTCTAAGGGGTTTTTATGCTTACAATAAATATATGTTAAATCGTACATTTATGTTAAATTAAATTAAATATTATATATTTATATATAAAATCAGTTTAAGTTAATGATATTGCTTTAACTAATTAAATTAGTTACAAAAGAAATATATAATCACAATTCGTCATGCTGATCATTATGTTGTATATAATTCATTATAAATTCATAAAGATCATCTAAATTTCGAGCACCATTGTATTCAGAAACTTTAAGTCCGTCACGGTATAAATATAGAGTTGGAAAACCATCTACTTCTTGTTCATTGCACAATTCTTTACTTACACCAAGAGTACAGTCTACTTTTACTATATTCACATTATCGTTTGTTAAGAATTTTTTCCCGAGATCTTTCCAAATAGGCGCTAAACGTTTACAATGCCCACACCAAGGTGCGAAAAACTTAACAAACGAAATCCCTTTTTCAATACCATGTTTGAAGCTTTCACCAGTTAAACTAAGTATAGCATGAGCTGTATTATCTAAATTATCAGTCTTAACGTTAACTTGGTCATTTTCTTTCTCAAGCATTTTTGATACATAAGCTTTAAGATCTTCATGAGTACGTTGGCCAACATATTTATCCACCTATATAATCACATATATCAAATATTAAAATGATGGAAAAACAATACAAATAGTATTTAAATTTTACCTTCTTTCCATCTTCAATCCAAAGTAATGTTGGATATCCTTTTACATCAAATTGTCCACAAACACTACGATGCAGTGTACAATCTACTTTAGAAATACTCACATAATTGTCATTACGTAAACTATTAGCTAATTCTTCCCAAATAGGAGCTAATTTTTGGCAGTGACCACACCATGGTGCATAAAATTTTACAAAATGATAGCCAGTAGATACATGCTTATCAAAAGTGTCCTCTGTTAATTCTAATAAACCATTTACTGCTTCAGGAGGTGATGGTGCCTCATTTTCACTCTAATTTAGAAAATTTAAAAAAACATTTCAATAAATTGAATTATCTGTTATAACTTAGTACATAAAGTGGTTTTCACAATTACCTCTAAGGAAGTACCCAATTGATTACTAAGAAATGACATTAAAGATGGTAAATCTCTTGTTCCTCTGAATTTAGTGCCTTTGATTTCTCCAGCTTTAAAAAACTTTAATCTGTAATATTAAAAATCCTAAAGCTTACTTTTCCTTATAATTATATGCTTATACATATTGTCACAAACATGTTGCTTAATAAATTCATGTTACACATACGTAGGATAACCGGTAACATCATGCTCTGTGCATAAACTACTATCTGTAGTACAATCTACTTTAGCAATTTTTATATTGTTATCCTCCACGTTCGACATTTCAGCTAATTGCTCCCAAGTAGGTTCCAATCTCTGACAATGACCACACCTGAGAAAAATAAATAGTTTCATTTAGCAGTGTTTAATATAAAGATTATATATCAATAATATTATTCCTAGAAATTTACAAACGTATACAAATTTTTTCTTCCTTTAAAAAATAAAATAAAAAATTAAGTATTTACCAAGGGGCATAAAACATGATAAAATGATTTTTCTTCTGAATTTCTGTTGAAAAATTATCCTTAGTATACTGTATAGTATGCACATGATCTTGTTCACTGTTAACTTGACTTAGCATAAATATAAATAAAAAGATACACTTTTTTAACATAACAGAATTCAATGAATTCGCACTCATATTGATAAATAATTAATAGTCTATTAAATAATAAAATATTTAAAAATAAATATGCTACTATCAAAGGTAATGACAACGATAATTTAAAAAATTTTAGTGTTTCATCGTGTATATTTTGAAATTACAGTTTTAAAATGTGTTCACATTAAACTCGAAATAATTTGGATTTTTATATTATCTAAATTGTTATTGTGGTTATTTAAATATTTTTCTGTTAATAAATTCTGTTAATAATTTTTAATAAGTATTTCGACTTTAGATTAGCTTCCACACTTCCACATAAATGGATCGAAACCGCCGATTCCGCCCCCATATGATATTATTCTAGTAGCAACATTACATTGCAAAATTCCTATAAATGCAACTAGTACCATGACTCTAATTTTTTTCATAATTCGATAATGGTACTTGTTTCATTCATTATTTCAATCATTAATGTTTATTCATTTTTGTTTATGCAAATAGTTATAAAATAGTTGTATACTTGGAATGAATTAAATTTTTACAGTGTGAAATAATTAAAATAATTGTATTTATTTCTAATTTATTCTTATTATATAAAACAAACAATAAAACAATAAGCATAATAGATCTAGTTAGATAAAGTGAACCTGTATGTAATATTGGCAATTCTGTCGCTATATACATATATATGTGCAATTATTACATGCATTGTCATACAAAGTGGGAGAACATTCATCATTAAGTCATCCCGTATCGAGGATATCAATCTGTAAACAATGTACGTAATGAATGCAAGATGAGTGGCATAAAGAAAAAAGCTAATCATTTAGCAGTGTTTAAAAAACGGACGAAAAATGACGATAATGCTGAACTATCGGAAATCATTATTATATCGGCGAGAAAAAGTGGAAATTTAAACCTCTCATCGAGAGGATTATTTATGGGTATCCATTATTATTTAAAAATGATATATATAAATGTTATTCGATTCCATTTGATATCAGTTGCAATCATAAATAAGCTACGTGCACGTCTGTTTATTCATCATATCAATATTATGTGCAATATAATTTATCATTTATATTATTTTTTTTGACGTAATGATACGAAGTAAATTGTATACTTGTTACATATAAAATATTGTTTTCATAAAAGATATATATTTTATCAAATACATAGATGTACATCATAAAAAAAGCATTATATTAGTGATAAATGTATACTTATTAGCTTAATGCTTTTTAGTTGCATTTCATTTCTTAACTTTGTCAAAATAAAAATGATTGCATTTTTTAATTTTCTTTATTTTTGCACCCATTTACGAAACGCATGATGTCTGAATCATAAAACAAATAGAACACATATCACAATTGAATTTTATTGTAATCGTGAAACTACTTGTTTATTTTGATATATAAATAGCTTTGCATGTTAGATTGTGAATAATGCAATAGAACAAGCAATATTTACAGTATCATGCCAAATTATATAAGGTAAGTAATTTTTATAAAAGTATCATATTTCATATATAATTATATATAGAAATATATATTAATTATGTATTAATGAGTCATATTATGATCAATAAAACCTATTTTAGTACCTGATAGAATATGGAATATAAATGATTTAACTGAAGAAGAAGTGAGAAATTTACATTTTGAACTTGATTATGTAAATGAAAATGAAAAATGGTGGGAGCAAGAGCCTCTTAAGATATTGGATTTAAGTCATAACAGTTTAAAGACAATCGAACCACAAATAGAAAATTTATCAGAGTTGACTGTGTTACATGTAAATATAACAGTTTTATATGCAAAGAAATTGCGCATAAAATATTATATACTGAATTTTTATAATTTTCATAGTTACATAATAATTTGTTGGAAGAATTGCCTGCTGAAATGGGAAATTTAAAAAAATTAAATATATTAAATTTATCAAATAATAAGCTGGAAAATTTGCCAAGTGAATTTTATAAGCTAAATGAACTGCATGAACTAAACTTAAAAAATAATAGTATAAAGGAGCTTGATCCTGCAGTTGGTGACTTCATAATGTTGACCAATCTAGTATAATAAATAAATTATTTTTAAGATAATTTTATTTACTTGATGTACTAAATTTTAGAATCTAAAATGTTGTATTTGTTTAGGATTTATCATATAACAATTTAATTGAGTTACCGATTGGAATGGGATATTTAGTACGATTACTTTCCTTGGATTTAAGTCATAATATGTTAAGAGAATTACCACCTGATTTAACAAATATGAGAGGTACGATTTACAATAATGTGTATATTTATATAAGTTATTTAATTTAATTTCTTTACAATATGTTAATATAACATTAAAAGAAAAACAGTTTGCACTGTTTCTTCCTGTATGACAAAAATTTAATAAAAAGAACACATATTTTTTGGAAATAGCATTACAAAAGTTAAATGCAAGTTATAATCAATTGGAAATGTTGCCACCTCTGGGTGAATTAAGGAAAATAGAAACAGTGATATTGCAATCAAACAAATTAACAACATTTCCTGATATGTCTGGTTGTACACTATTAAGAATACTACACTTGGCTGATAATAACATTACTGTACGTACTATTATGCTAGTCTAAGCATATATAGTGATTATTTACAAAGAAATAAATAGAGTTTTATATATATACATTACAGATTTCTGTTATATACAGACAAAAAATTTTTTATGAATTTAATATATTTATTTCAAAGTTATATATTGTTTTAATTTTTGTTAATTTTTTTTTTGTTTAATATTGTATATAACAAAATTTTATATATGATAATTTTAATATTTATTTTGCATAATTTATAGGAAATTGATATGTCTTATTTAGAAGGTGTAGGACAATTAAAAATATTAACATTAAGAAATAATCAAATTGAAATAATACCAGAAGAAATAATAAAACTGGTGTATCTAGAAATTTTTGATTTATCACACAACAAATTAACTCTGTATGTTATTTTATATATATTATTATTTTGTTTTAACGAAATATTTTCAAAATAATATTCTTTGTGTTCTGTAGAATACCAAAATATATTGGTCTAATGCCTAATTTAAAACAATTTGTGATTGATGGAAATGATATAAAAAATGTTAGAACTGATATAATACGATGCGGTACAGTGCGAATTTTGAAGCATATACGACAGGGTATTAAAAGTACAAATACGGATGTAAAAGAATATGTGGTATCAGATGCTAGTACAAATATTTATCCAGATAGGTATATACATAAAATTAATATTTGATTTAATTAAGTTGATAATTATTAATGGTAAATAATTTACTATATATTAGATATACAATGCAGAGTACAAAATTGCTCAGTTTGGCTGGACAAAATCTTACTGAATTATCACAAGAAGTATTGAAAAATGCATGTAAAGCTGATGTAGGTACAGTGGATTTAAGTAGAAATAAGCTATCTGTTTTACCTGATGAATTATCTATAATTGAAAGAATTGCTGATTTAAAATTGACATCTAATCAACTAATACATATACCAGAATGGATTGGTGAAAAATACAAGTATCTACAGATTTTGGATTTAAGTAAAAATCTTTTACAATCACTTCCTTCTAATCTTGGCTTGCTTAAATATTTACAAGAACTTAACATTTCATTTAACAGGTATTGCACTATATATAGAAATATATATTTATAAGTAATATATATTATTATATATATATATATATATATATTATATATATTGCACGAATTATGTTATTACATCATAATTTTTATTAATATTTATATAATATGTGTTCACATTATAAACGTCAAAATTATAATATACTTATACAATATGACTTATACATATATATAGAAAATTAGATTTCATTAAAACTTATTGATACATTATATAGGTTTAAAGAAATACCAGATTCTGTTTATGACATAAATTCCTTAGAAATATTGATAGCAAATGATAATTTAATTACTGATATTGATGTACCAGCTTTACAAAAATTACAAAAACTTGCAATATTAAATCTTGCCAATAATAATATTGGTCTTGTACCACCAGAACTTGGTACTTTGAAAAACTTAAGGTAAATTACGATGACTCAGTTATATTTATTAAATGTTATAACATTAAACCTTTGTAGGAATTTATCTTTATCTGGAAACTGTTTTAAACAACCCAGGCAAGCAATTCTGGCAAAGTCTACAGAAGAAATCCTAGCATATCTTAGAAATAGAATACCTCAATAAAACTAACAAAACATCATGTTGACAAGGTATATGCCAATTATCTAACGTTATTGTAATAGCAAATTCTTAAATAAATTATTTAAAATGAACAATTGATTATGTTGTGTTTTATTTAATTTTCCTGTAAAGAATATACGAACATGTAGTAATATGTTGTAATTATAAAAATAAATTTTGAAATTAATTTTTAATCAGTTCATTGACTAAATATAGGATAGATATATCACTTTATGAAATTTGGTATCACATGTTTTGAAGTACCAATTGTATAAAAAATTGGAGGTTGTGTTATTGACTAATTCTCTGTGTCATTCTCTATCACAGACGAAGTATACCTCGTGTATGAGTATACAAAAGACATGAGATCTTATGAGACTTGATTTCAGACGTATTTTATCTGTGATCCATATCATTGACTAACTTGCATAGACCAGACATTCAATGCTTTTTCGTGTCCTAGGTCACCGACGAGGTATATTACCTCGCTGTGTTACTAGTAGCGCTGCGGTGTAAAACCTGCCTGAATCGGTATGGTAGGATGTGACACGAAAATGTCCCTTAACATCGGATGTCATGTTTATTTCATATCTCATCTGTGCTGTATTTACATAGTGTAGAAATTTTTTGGCGGGAGACAAGGAAAAAGGAGTTCATTCACAAATTTTCAGGTAAAATTTTCATGTTCTTAGATTTATATCTGCATTGCCGATTATGTCTGCAATTTAAAACAGTGAGCATTTTTTAAAAAAGTTATTATAAATATTTAATTCAATCCTTTATTGGTTAGAAGTAAATACAATGCATGTTTTATTTCGATATACATACATACAGTTGTTTACAAAAATGTTTAAACATTTTTAGTATAGAAAATACATTTTACGTTTGTATAAATACAACTATTATGCTGATGATAAAATTCCAGAGTAATCTGAAAATCTATAATTACATGTATACTCACACCAATTAATTCCGGCTATTATGAAATTTATGTTTCAAATCAATTTAATGCTTAGTTGTTATATACATATACTGTAAGTATACAATTAATGTTAATAATTAAATCATGTGTTTATAATAATTTCTGTAGTTGTGTAATACTTTGTTATAACTGTATTGTCCGTGCGAAAAAAAACATTGTATTTAATTATGCTCTATATTCTATGTTCATTAATTTAATCAATTTTATTCTACCAAATTAATACATATTTACATATTATATATAGGATAAATAATTAATGTATTCTTCAGAACATTCTCGTACGACGGTTTGTTTTTCTATAAATCAGCTAAATCCTATTTCTGTACGTTCGGACCATCATCT